AATCATGGAGAAATAATCTAAGCACACTTGTGAAATGTGCTTTCTACTTGTTGGAAATACTGCTGGGTCCTAAGCTTTCATTTCTATCCTCCCACAATTATCACTGTCTGCAGGAGTGTGGTAAACAGGGCGGAGTCTCAGAGGTACACATTTCCAGAAACTATGATGGCCAACCAGTTGAACAGGCAGCCACTTTATAAAGTGACTGCATAGGATGTTGCTGTCCAAACCTTGCCAATTACTGAGTTTTCTGCAGTCTCCAAGGTGAAAAAGCTACACAGCAATCTGGCCATAAGGTATACGAGTCCAGATGGGAAGCCATGTTACCTTGTAACAGCCAAATAAAACAGGAGTCCAAAGGCACTGCAAAGACTTGACAAATAAGCTTTTTGTGAGTTAAAGCTTACTTTATCAGATGCACCCGATGACAAAACCTGTCGCTGGAGCCCATGTTGATCCGTCTTTAAGGTGCTGCCAGACTCCTGTTTTGTTTTCTTAGAAGGCAGAAGAACCCTCAGAAGTGAGGGGAGTTGAGAAGAGGGTCAGAGGAGCACACGAGGAATATTTTCTTGTGTGCCAGAAGGGGAGTTATCGGCTCTACTTATTTAAATGAGACTACCTCTCTAAACAGCACACATTTCACAGATTTATTCTGGTCATCCCTGAGAGCCAGTAAGCCCACCCATGTGGTGGCGGTGGAAAGTGCCGTCAAGTCACTACTGACATGGCATCGACCCCGTGGGGTTTTCAAGGCAAGAGACATTCAGAGGTGGTTTGTCATTGCTTGCCTCCGTGTCACGACCCCGATGTTCCTTGGAGGTCTCCCATCCAAATACTAGCCAGGGTGTTACGTATTGGGACTGGAACATTCCAGGACTGTTTCTACCAGAGACTGGCTGAGCTTGGAGCTCTAGAACAATAGCCCACCAGGACTCTGGAGGTGGCCAGTGGGGGAAGTAATGGTTCTGACAAAGGCCTATCATTGGTAGTTGTTTGGGGAAGTGGGTGGACTTGCATGAGTATTTAACACAGGGCTTACCCTAAGTAGCCTCCAAGATCCAACGAAATCAGGCTAGCCGGGCTTTCCAGGTCAGGGCTACCCAGGGGTCATTTTGTAGAAAAAGAGGTGCAGGAGCTCATTAGCATAACTTATTTGCATATGCCACTGAAAGAGGGAGAGAAGGAAATGAGGGAAAGAAGGAGAGAAGGAAGGAAGGAAAGAGGGAGAGAGGGAGAGAAGGGAATAAGGAGGGAAAGAAAGAGAGAAGGAAAAAAGGACAGAAAGCATGAGAGAGAGAGGGAAAGAGGGAAAGAAAGGAAAGGAAAGGAAAGGAAAGGAAAGGAAAGGAAAGGAAAGGAAAGGAAGGAAGGAAGGAAGGAAGGAAGGAAGGAAGGAAGGAAGGAAGGAAGACAGATGAGGGAGGGAGGCTCTCCCACCCCCCTGATCAAGCTTCCGCCCGGGGCTGTTGGGAGCAGGGGGCAGGGCTTGTTGCATGTGGGCTCTTTACTGCTGGAGCTCCACTCCTGTGCGCTCCTGCAGGAAATAACCCCTGGGGCTACCCATATGGTAGCTAAGAGGAAATCAGCACCTAATTCATCAATTGTGGAACAGCCCAGACTGAAACATTATCAACTTATTTTAATATGTGAAGCTCAAGAGTCTACCATGTGTTAAACTACTGTTTGGTCCATTGAAAAGCATTTCCTCAGTCCTGTGATTCACACACGCATACACACACACGGGTGTGGATGAGGAGGAGGAGGAGGAGGAGATTGGATTTATACCCCGCCCTTCACTACCCAAAGGAGTCTCAGAGCGGTTTACAATCTCCTTTCCCTTCCTCTCCCCACAATGGACACCCTGGGAGGTGGGTGGAGCTGAGGGAGCTCCGAGGGAGCTGCTCATGAGATAACAACTGAAAGAATTTGTAACTGATCCAAGGTCACACCAGCAGCTGCATGTGGGTAGTGGAGGAGTGGGGAATCAAACCTGGTTCTCCCATATTAGAGTCCGCACTCCTAACCACTATACCAAACTAGACCAGGGTGTTTTTCTTGTTGTCACTGTTGGGGAGACAGGAGGCTAGCAATGCCTATAATTGTCCTAGGTTCAGGGTATGTTGCTCGTCATCCCATGCTTAAATATGTAACTCAATACAATTTGCATCTTTGTACATACCCCCAAAGGCAAAAAGTTCCCTGTGCCAAGGTGCTGGAATAGTCAATGTGGAAGGACAGTCAGCATTACCGAAGGAGCAACTGCCTTGTATGACCCACTTATTACAGGGAATTTTCCTTCAGAGATGTCCTTTTTAAGAGCCATGTTGATTAACAGAAAATTTACTGTTTGCTTTTGTGGCTGCCATCCCCCAGCTGTATCATAGTTAACCTAAAGCAACAGTTTTTTAAAAGCACAGATTATTTCGATGAATTCCTACCGGTGGAAGTGCCATCAAGTTGCAGCCGACTTATGGTGACCCCCATAGGGTTTTCAAGGTGAGAAACGTTCAGAGGCGGTTTGCCATTGCCTGCCTCTGCATAGCAACCCTGGAATTCCTTGGTCCAAATGTTAACCAAAGCTGAACTTCCAAGATCTGATGAGATCAGGCTAGCCTGGGCCATCCAGGCCAGGGCAATAAATTCATACATACAATGTATTACATTTTATTTTTATCTTACCCTTTCTCCAAGAAGAGGAGGGCAGCATGCTTGGTTGTGCCCTCCCCTCTCTCAACTCTGTGAGGCAGATAAGGTTGACAGCCAGTATGGTGCAGTGGTTAGAGTGTTGACAAAAGTCTTGGAATCCGGACCACCAAGTGTGACCTTGGACCAGTCATCCTGTCTCAGGCCAACCTAGGGTTGGCATCCTCTCAAGGGTAAAGGGATGGCTCCTATTCCCAGTGCCCCTGGCTCCACCAGGCCAGTTTGGTGTAGTGGTTAATTGCGCGGACTCTAATCTGGGAGAACCGGGTTTGATTCCCCACGCCTCCACTTGCAGCTGCTGGTGTGACCTTGAGCAAGCCATAGTTCTGTCAGAGCTGTCCTTGAAAGAGCAGTTTCTGTCAGAGTTCTCTCAGCCCCACCTACCTCACAGGGTGTCTGTTGTGGGGAGGGAAAGGGAAAGGAGTTTGTAAGCCGCTCTGAGACTCCAAGTGAAGGGCAGGGTATAAATTCAATCTCTTCTTCTTCTTCTCCACTCCAGTAGGGTAAAAGTGGCAGCATGTGATGCTGTGACATTACTTTTTATTTCTACCTGGAAATAACATCATGACACTCTAGGAACCGCATATCCTTATGGTAAAAAAAATAAAAGAAATGAGCAAATTCCTAGACTGTCATGACATCACTTCCAGACATCATGACATTAAGATGCTGCATGCTGTCTCCCACCAAAGGCTGGTGTTTAGCTGGCAACCCAAGGCACCTACCTTACCAGGTTATTGTGAGGATAAAATGAGGAAGCGAGAACTGCTTATGGTGCTTTGAGCTCCTTGGGGGAATGATGGAATAAAAAAGTACAAGAGAGAGAGAGAGAGACTGGCCCAAGGTAATGTAGTGAGCTTCATAGGTGAGTGTGGCACACTACCCAACACACCACACCAGCCAATGAAAAAGACCACTGCCCTTCTTCAAGATGGTTCTCAAACAAGCATGTTTGCTGCCAAAAAGTGACCCTGAAGAAGTGTGAAAGAAATATTAAGCAAATCAGTAAATGTTTTTAAGAGTATGTATGAAGACTATTTAATAGAATTGCAGAGATGGCAAGGATCAAAAAGTTATCTTGCTCACCCTCCCTGCCCAAAGCAAGACCACCCATTGCTCCTACACAGATTAGCCTATATGCCACAACCAGAAAAGCAAAGTGCTTTGCAGGTCAGTGTTTACAGCAAACAATATTGCTACCAAGATATGTGCTACAGAAGAAAGCAGAGCCCCCAGATCAGTCAAATCTGAGAAGGGGGGGGGGGAGAATCCATGACATTAATGAAGAATTTGAGCATGGCCTCACACACCCCATTAATGCCCGTTCCCTAACTGTGGACCTGCATGGAGAAAATGAGCCATCTCAAAATCTATTTTGTCTAGAAAAGCAGTTATTTCCCCCAGAAAGATTTAGATTAATCTGAAATGATCCAGTATTACATCCCATTTGCCTGCCCCCCCCCCCCCAAAACAAGGGATTCCTTTCCTTTCGGTTCTAAGATCTTACCTGCCTCTGAATCTACACCATTACTTGAGTGTTTATACTTCTTTTTTCTTCCTCAGCCAGCCTGTTAAATATTTTCAGAATGCTTTTGCATGCTTGGGGCAACTGATACATGTGAGGAAAACCAGTTTCCACACGCAGACTGCATCCCCATTCCCCTTGACAGAAGCAACTCACCTCTCCCTCTCTCTCTCTCTTTATGTGTGTGTGTATGTATATGGCCAATTCACTTTGTAAAATTAATTTTGGAGGCTAACGATAGGTTCAGCAGTGTTTTAGCGTCATCCTAGAAACAGGCATGCCTATAAAACCTTCTCATACTGCGTTTTGGGGTGAGTTATTCAGAGAAGTGGTTGACTTTAAAAGGTAACATGGGAAAAACAGCTGCACCATCTGAAAAAAATGTGTATATATTTACACAGTTCTTTTTATAGTTCACATTTCTGTAGTTTCTACACACAATTAACAACTGCTTTCCACAAAAGTTATCTCAGTGCCCCTACAGCACTGAAATCACAACGAGTTTTCCAACATATAAATATATGTATATATAATCAATATGTGTAATAAATATATCAGTCTTTTAAAACAAGCCATCACTAGCTGCAAACAGAATTATCTTGCAACTGTAATGCATTTGTTCTTGCATACTAAAATATGAACAAATTTGGAAGATGAATGAGGATATTGGCAGCCACCTACATGAAGGGAAACAATATTAATAGAAAAAAGTTTGTTTGTTTAATTGCGCTTGGTGGGGTGTGCTCCAAAAATCTTGTGATCTGAAGAATTTTTATGTCTTGTTACTCATTGTCAGATAAAGGATTTCCTTATGAAAATTGGCTTGTGCATTCACCAGATGGAACAGGTACAGAAAGCTGCGGTCTTCTTCATCATGCTCCCCTAAGCAAAATAAACACGGATGCTTGTTCTTATTTAAGAAAATGAAGAGCTGTTTGAAATCTGTGCACAGCTTGTGCTTAAAATGGTTCTGCGGGAGAGGCTGAGCACATATGTTGCATACAGAAGCCCCCAGGTTTAATCCTTGCCCTCAGGAGCTGTTGTTTGTTCTGTCTGGAAACTTACACGTAGCCCATTGTTACATATAAGTTTCCCAGTAAAGCAAACAGCAGCCCCCTGGTGCCATTTCAATTTGCAAAAATTGTGTATGTGGTGCCAGGGGTGTTCTTAGCCAATGGCCAGCTGAGGCACTGTCCTGGATCCCGAGCTGGGGGGGAGGGCGGTAAATACCCACAGCTTTGCCGACAGAGGAGGGAAAGAAAAAAGAAAGGTGCCATAACTGCTGGTGCCCACCCCATTCAGGGTTCGGACTGGCCACTGGCAGCAACATCCGCTTGAACTCACCTTGTCTGGGGCTCAGGCCTCCGCTTGCTTGGCCCCAGTGGTGGTGGGGAGTGATTCGGGGGCTCCATCGTGGACTTTTGGCCAGGGCTCCAGAAATACTAAAACGAGTCACTGGTGGGAGCTGAAACCCCATCTCCACACGTGCTGCATTCATCATCAAAACACAGCCCATGCCTGCCTGTTTGTTGTGATATAGACTTTTGTGGGCCACAGTCCCCTCTGTCAGATGTACAAAGTGCTGCCCTGATGTGGCTACAAACATAATAAGGATGGGGGTTGGGAGGTGAGATAGCTGACTTATGGCAACCCCTTACAGGGTTTTCAAGGCAAGAGATGTTCAGAGGTGGTTTACCATTGCCTGCCTCCATGTCACAACCCTGGTATTCCTTCGACATCTCCCATCCAAATATTAGCCAGGGTCTACCCTGCTTAGCTTCCGAGATTTGACGAGATCGAGCTAGCCTGGGCTGTCCAGGTGAGGGCAATAGAAGTTATTACAAAATACAGCTGGAAGGTCCAGCAGTCAAGAGACAGGTATATGATATCAGTATGCAGATCGTCAAAAGATTAAGCAGCCCATCAAATGGAGTCACATCGGATAGCAACTCACAGCAATTTGAGAGAGCACATTAAATTTTTATTTCTTTTTGCTCTCTGTGGTGTGAAGCGTGACATTTAGGAAGTTACAAATTTATAAGTAATCTTGTCTATAATACTCTAGACATTCACTGGGGTGAATTCGAATCAGGGCTTCTTCTTCAAGAGGCATATTTTGGTTCCCAGGAATTCAAATTCAGAACTGTGTTATTACTGGAATTTAGGAAGAAATGCAAGATTCAATGGGCTGGATCCAGCCAGCTTCTTCACTCGATCTCAACCAACTGTCTTCTTTACTACAGCTCTTGTCTCACTTAGATTTTGTCCATGTGGGTCTCATGATTTCCCAGAACAGCCTTTTGGGGTGGTTAAAGGGAACCCCTGTTACCCTTCCACCAGTGGAAAAGCTGGTTGGATTCCATGCAGCATGTAAATGTAATGATGAATTTGTTGGTCACACAGAAGAGGTTAGCACCACAAATCTCAGGGGGGAAAAGAGATATTCCAAATTCCAGTTGGTACACGAAACATAACATGGGTCTAGAAGTAAGCCGGTACAGGAATGAGGGTGGCGTTAGTAGCTCTTTTCCTAGCGAGCTAAAAGAGGGATTCTAAAAAAAAAAAAAAAAGCCCCAGAGGAATAGTCTGACATTCTGTCAAAACATGTTGGGAACTGCATTACCCAGAAGTAAATCATTTCCTGCATCTACTGGAATATCACTTTTCTTAAATGAAAAAAAAGCCATGCTGTTTTAAAATAAAAGTTCACTAAACAGACAATGAAATGAAAAATGTCACACACACCCCTAAAAGGAGAGAGACACTTAAAGCCAAATGACATTTTACACATAGTTGGATGCTTTCCCCCAGTGGTTTGTGTATTATTATGTTTTAGTGGAAAGCAGTGTCGTGGAAGCTGCAGCTGAAGAGCAGCAGAAGCAGGGCCCTGCTTAATCTTTCATCCGTTCCCCCCCCCCCCCAATCAGAATTGGAATCCTGTACTACCTTTCCTCTTACGGGGAAAAGAAAGAGAGGGCATGATGGGAGAAAAACAACTGAGTGGAAAACCCGCTCAGGGTTGCCAGCAGCTTGGAGAAAAATGTTCTCCACCTTTAATAAATAGGGTTGCCATCTGCAGCTTGGGAAATTCTTGGAGATATCAGGGCAATGCCTGGGGAAGGAGTTCAATAGGAATGCAATATCATAGGGCCCACCCTCCAGAGCTGCAGTTTCCTCCAGGACGAGTGATCTCGGTAGTCTGGAGGTCAGAATAACGCTGGGAGAACTCCAGGCCCCACCTGGAGGTTGGCAACCCTATTAACAGATGCTTAATGTGTGGAAATGGGCAGCTGAAACTTTTAATGGAATGGAGGGAAATAACATCACCTGGTAAATAACATCCCACAGGGTTATGGGGGGCTACGGGATAACTATTTACCAGGTGACGTTATTTACCTCCATTCCACGAAGTTTCAGCTGCCTGTTTCCACACATTAAGCATCAGGGCTGCATCCCATTAAAAGGGCAGGGCCCTGACCCAGACAGCCCAGGCTAGACTGATCTCATCAGCAGTGCTCCCTCTAAGCTGTGGAGTCTTGTGAGCAAAAATTCTACTTTGTGAGCTACTGGCATTAAAGTTGTGAGCAAGCCATTTGGCTACTGCATACATTAGTTTGCTCTGGAGCCCTCCTTCCTGAGCTAAGACAAGAATGTGTGAGCTGGAGGCTAAAAAACTGTGAGCTAGCTCACACTAACTCATCTTAGAGAGAACACTGCTCATCAGATCTTAGAAGCTAAGCAGGGTCAGCCTGGCTGGCAGGGCTGGCCCTAGCTTATTTTGCACCCTAGGTGAGGATCCCTTCTGGCACTCCCCCGTGCGCCACCCCCCCTCCCCTGTGCATCGCCCCCCCAGCTCCGGGGAGGCGTGCATGTGGCACACACAATTCCCACCCACCCCCAACCCCTGCCGCTCTGTTGGGGGGGGGAGCAGAACGAGTCGGCGGTGGCAGTCACCCGGTCAGGGCTTTTGGCAGGGGGGGCTTTTGGCGGGGGGGGTGCAGTTTGGCGCCCTAAGGGCCAGCCAGCTCTAGGCGAATGCCTAGTTTGCCTAGTGAGTGAGCCGGCCCAGCTGGCTGGTCAGTACTTGGATGGCAGAACGTCAAGGAATACTGAGGTTGCCATACAGAGGCAGGTAATGGCAAACCACCTCTAAATGCCTCTTGCCATTGCCTCAAAAACCCTACGGGGTCACTGTTGGCTGCAACTTGATGGCAAAGGGGGGGGGGACATTTTTTTCTCCACGCATTTGGCAACCTTAATCCTAGGAGGAAATGGCTTAGCAGTACGTACCCCACTCTGCTCAAGATTCCAGCCTTCTGTGGCAGTAATTCATATTAAAAAAAAAAAAAAGGAAACAGTTGTACATGTGTCATTCAGCCCTGCAGAATACAGCTGCCTGGAAGTCGCATCTTCTGAGCTGGATATCCTGCTTTAAATTTCCAGATGGGTATGCTTGTGTTTGGAAATACAGAGACTGACTATGTAGTGGTACAGAAAATGTTCTCTGTAGCATGTTCAAATGCACACTATTGTGCCTGAATCGCACAATGATTGACAACAAACCTCTGGGCAATGAGATGTTCATGGACTGCTGTCTCTAAATGGACGTGCTCACATTCATCACTTTTAAGGAAGAAAGGATAACCCATTTAAACCCAGACGATCACAATCATGGTAACTAATGGGGCAAGTGCTTCTGCTATTGTATTTCTTACCAGATATCACTGACTGCAGTGCATCCATGACGATGTGAGCAAAGGCATTCTCCACACTTTGTAGGAAGTTGTTCCTTTCACCCGAGGTGTTGAAAACCTTGCAGACCTTCTGCATCATTTTTACAGCCCAGTCCATGCAATACAGGTCCTTCTCACACACCTGGCACAGAAGCAGGAAATATCTGTAAAGCAAAGTTTTCCTGAGGGTGGGGAAGAGCAGTTACATATCTTTGCTCCCCCTCACCTCCCCCCAAAAAATCTATAAAACATAAATGAACAGTTGGGTTAAAAAAAAAATACAAAATAGAGGGTTGGATCCAGCCAGCTTTCTTACTCATTCTTGTCCAATTTGTAGCAATCTAAAAGAGTTCTTCTCCCACATATCTCTTGTCCAAGAAGATCCCATGATTCCCAGTATGGACTTTGTGGGTGATCAAAGGGGACCTCCTTCATTTGTTAACCAGCCGGAAAGCTTGTTACCCAGAATCTTGTATGAAACCCAAAGCTAAAACTGGCTAATTACTGATCTGGGGAGCTGGAAGGATATTGTTAATTTGTTTAGGGATTGTTGTTTTTTTGCTTTCCCCTGAAATGGCTGTTGAACATTAGCCCTTGTAAGCACTTTTCTGTAGTACACCTGCTTTCCATCTAGGCAACACACTCTGACCTGTCCTAAGGATTTGTTATATTTTTTTTATTCCACACTTCTTCAAAGGTATAGTGTACATAAATCATGGCAGTGCAGAGGATTTGAACTCAGGACTTCCAGACCCAGCATTCTAACCATGATTCCACATTGGGTCCTTCAGTTATGTGGCATCTTGCATAAGAAGTGTATGAACACGGCAGTGAGTTCAGTGGTAGAAAGTTAGATTAGACAGCCATTAAAAGGTAAAGGTAAACATTTCCCCCTACACCCTCGCCTTGCCAGTGCTGTCTAAAGACGTTTCCGTGGTCATGTGGCCGGTATGACTAAATGCCGAGATGCACGGAACGCTGTTACCTTCCCGCCGAAGTGGTACCTATTTATCTACTTGCAATTTCTTGCTTTTGAACTGCTAGGTTGGCAGGAGCTGGGGCCAGAGACAGGAGCTCACTCAGTCACATGGCACTAGGGTCTTGAACTGCTGAAATACAGACCTTCTGGTCTGCAGCTCAGCATCTTAACCTCTGAGCCACCATGGCCTTCAAATTTTAATTCTGCTTCAGATAACTGCATCCAATTTCTCTTTCAGATAAATGTATTCAATTTCCTGCCCTTCCCCAAGGCAACATGCTTCACACATTCTACTGTATTTGTAGTATGTAAGCAAACAAAGAAGGGGAGAAGGGAAACACACAGAAAACACAAACAATGAAAGGTGGACTCAAATAACAGGTGATATTTGTGGTGTTGTTATGGTGCTTTCATTCACAAATCTTGTAGAGGTCTCTTCTTTAAACAAATACAGTTTTATATGCTGGAATACTGTGCACATGCTAATTACATACAATTCTAATATACTTTGTAGGAGAACAGCACATGGTTCAATAGCTCCTCTTCTCTTCCTGCTGGTCTGTCACTTTAACAGTGTGATCTGAGGCAGAGCTACAACAGATCCTTGGCCATTTGTGAGGGATCCATTCCTAGGGAGACAGGGTTCTGCTGCCTCCCCATAGATCGAAACAATCACATCTCCCACCGACTTTAACAATGTCATAACAACAGTGGTGGCCTGGTGGGGGAATAAGTACAGGCTGGAGACCACATTGCATGAGTAGATAAATTACAAATCTGCAAATGGTTAGCGTCTACTGTTCGTCCTTCTAAGCCCAATGACTCCAACGGACTTACAAGGGTGTAGCTTCATTTCAGGATTTGCATCACAGCCTCAGAAGCTCCCTTCCATTAACGGCAAATAATTACAGAACAACATTTCTGTTCCGCATTGCTGGGAAGAAGACGCTACTAGGAAATTCATTGTTTATTGCTACTCACCAAAGCCAGGAAAACCACCAGCCTGGCCAATTCAATGGCTCTGCCGTTCACAGCTTTGCTAGCCATAAAAGTGAAGCAGATATTGTTTCCACACAGGATAAGAAGCCTGGCACTGTTTTCCAGAAGCCATTCCTGGAGAGC